AAGTCATTTTACAGCCTCCTCGTAGTGTTTAACAATATGGAGGTCAAAGAAGTCGTCTTCATCTTCCCCACTGAGCAGTGCCTCCAGTCCTCCGGCCAGCGGGGCCGACAGACTGGACTGGAGGGAAAACACACACGGACACGCACACACAGCCGGGAGCTTCAACAACATCCCACTGAGATCCAGAAACAGGACAGGAGGGTCCATCCCAGGTACGGGGACCCTGTGGAGAAAGACTGAATAAAGAGCCAGAGCTTCATCGAAGGGCATGAAAGCTTCCTGCACTCATCCTCACTCTGAAGAGATGCTGATGTAGACACAAAGCTGCTTCTCAGCAACACGATCACAAAAACAACCAGAGGTGGGGATTTAAACACACTGGGATCAATCTGAACAACAAGCAGGTGGAAGTAAAGCTTGGTGGACCGGAGCACAAGTATGGTGACCTCAACTAATGTCAAAAACACATTTTCATTTCTATTTATTGTGGAATTGAGCAGCTATGAACAGGAAAGACTGAGATAATGCTCAAAGTAATCATATAATGGAACAGCCCTGATAGCTGACAGGGTCAAAATACAGGTCAGCGGGTTAGGAATCCAGCTGTGGGCCTTCCACTCTTGGAGCTCTGCTTTTTGTGACCATCATGTCTGACATGGGTAACATGTCCAAGTGTGCCGTCACTGTACAAACCACATCCTGCTCTGCAGGAGGCATCGTACGAATGTTTCTCTGGAGGAGCAAAGCCCTGCTGGGCGGCATTATCGTATTCCAGTATTCATCACAGTGTTCTAACTGGTATTTCTCTCTCAGTGGTGGAAATATCCCGGCTAAAGAATGAGTGTATAAAGAGGTCAAGTTGTGCCTGCAGTCTTATAGATGTGGGTCAGTACTCAAGCTCTCGAGGTTACTTTGCTGTTAAGCTGTTGATGCAGTCACTATAACAGCAGAACTGAAATGATGCCATTTACTGCTTAAGAAAGTTGTAGCTGGGTTGTTGTGAGTAGGTGAGGCTAGGAAGTAGAGATGGGCGTGAGCAGCTGACTGGATGATTTTACAAGCTGTCGTTGCTTTGGTCACCAGTTGTTTTATCTAATTATCAACATTTTAATTGATGCCCAATGGCGCTGAATTGCTGTGATCTGTTTCTGTGGGTCGGATCTTGTTGTTCACACTATTATTGTTCTTTTAAAAGCCAAAGGATGACTGGAAGGATGTGTGCATGAAAACACACACACACACACACACACACACACACACACACACACACACACACACACACAGCTTGGAGAGAGTAGAGAAAAGGAAAGCTCAAACCCACAGACCATGGTGGGAGGAGCCAAACATAAAAGCAGCATGATCCTAGACCATAATAATAAAACGCACCACAACAGCTCAGTGAACTATTTGGTAAATGGCCTGTATTTGTATAGCGCTTTACTTTATTTGTTGAATAAAGTCTTAAATCGCAGGTGCTGAAAAGTACAGTCATCTGCTCACAAGCTATTGTATTTCTTTGTGTGGGTTATTTCTTCATCAGATGCACAGATCAGATAAAAAGGCCAGAGGATGGTCAGTACAATAAGGAAGTTTGGAAGTGACATCTCTGAAATGACAAAATGAGATCCCGCTGCAGTTGAAACAGGTCAGGCTGCAAACACAAGAGATCCATCAGAGATAGTGAAAACATTACAAGTGTCCAAAACAACAGTTTGGGTCCATTATCACATCTAAAGAAGCGACGGAGCTGAATGCCTTAAATGATCAGTGAAAACAACTGTGGACAGTGAGAAGAGGATTCTGTCACGAACATCTGCTTACAGCTTTGTCCACACTGACAACAAGACTTCCAAACTTTGGATGACATTTGGTAACGTCTCTGAGATCAGTGAGAAGGCAGGGTTACCCTGGTAACGGGAGCCTGGGGTGTTGGCTTTATTTTATACTCATTTTAGTTTCCTGTGAGCAAATATAAGCTTTTGTATTTCTGTGTGATTCTTTAACATGACAACACTGGAGACAGAAATATGTACCTAGACTGAGCCTTTGTTTGAATCCTTTGAAACATCAGCGCTGTAACATGAAAGCACAGTGAAAAAACTTATTATCACACCAAAAAACCCAACAACACTGAAACGGACGTGTGCGAGACCTGGGACAGTGCTCAACGTGCTCTGGGATCAGTGGAAATACAGAGAATAGCTCCCAAAAATGATGACCTCCATCCTAAAAAACTAACAAAAGCCAAACAGGAGCTCCGTGTCATCACAGAGACGTTTAGATGTTCAAACTTAGCATTCTTGAAAGCAAAACAAAAATCTGCTATTTATTTTCTCTTAAATGAACGTATACTTTGATTCTTAAATGAAAATGCATTGGCCCTCGTATATAATATAATATGCAATGTTTCTTACAAATACTGTTGAATGAATAATTCCTCACTGTTGTTCATTCTTCTATTAATGTAAAAACGCTCATGAATATAAACATTTCTTCTAAGGTCGTTTTCAACAGTTGTTCCTGAGTTAGCAGCTGGAGCTTTTGATAACCAGCGAGGCACCAGAAGCCTTTCAAACTTTGAAACCAACAGGTGCTGCCCCTCGGCAGGCTTCCAGAAAATGGCTGAATAGTAAAAGAGAGGCGGGTTTTAAGGGACAGGAGCTAAACTTGTTTTTGATAAACTGAACATCTGCAGGCTGTCAGTACAACATGAATAGGGATTGTTTTTGGACTCTAAATCATATAAAGCAGGTCTGTTGCTGGAATAATCAGACGTGCAGAAACAATAGGGACAAACGCATATCTGCAGACGATCTTCATTTAAAAATGAATCGTATCATAAAAACATGTCACCTGAGAGTCACCAGGAAGAGATGGAAGGAAACTGTGACATCTTGGTCGGATGTCCGGGGAAGTTCTGAAGTGTTGCTCTTTGTTAATTCCAGCGGTTAATTTAATTAATTTTCGTCGGGGGCGTGTACTCATGGGTGCAAAATGGTCCAAAAATACTCCAGAGTGTTTATTGAGAGCAGAGATCAGGTGACCCGGAGGTCCATTTTCTCATAGACTCTCATAGACAATCAGACATGTTTTTATAGCAGAGGAGTCGCCCCCTGCTGGTCAGATTTAAGACACGTCAGCTCTGGGTTCAGATTTCAGTCCAGATTAAAATCATAAATATCCAAGAGCAGAAAAAACTGTAAAACGAGTGTTTAGAGCAGACTGAAGGAATTTCCTGTTGCCTTGCTTTGCTTTTTACGAATATCCACAGTTATTACAAGAGATCTATATGACTGGAAATAAGTATAAAAAACACTACAGGTCCACTTTAACTGTCATCTGCAGTTAGAAACACGTGGATATCTGAATGACATTTCCTGGCTGACCTGAAAGCAGCATTTTTGCCTCTGACAGGATTGTGAAATCCTCTGATTAGTCATCTCTGATATGTAGCCTCCATTTTAAATAAGGCACCATGTGCTCTGTGCTGCACTGGAAATTTACCAACGCATTTCCTCTTTATTTGACTCTGTACTTCTGCTTTGCTGGATTTCAGAAGGATACATTGTTTTACACTCTGTAAGACATTTATTCACTCTGTACTTTGCATGCTAGTATTTTTAGCACCCTCAGTCCAGTTTGCATCATTGCTATGTCATCTCACCACTTTCCAATATATAATAAAACCCACAATATCATTTACCATAAAAGCATATAAAACCTGGTGCACAGTTGTACATTAACATACATCAGCATGATCAGACTTTAAATATTTTTTCTTAACTTTATATTATATAATGTTTACTTTTAGTGCACTTAAAAGTTAAGCTGTAAAAGTGAATGGGCTGTTAATGTAAATGACCTAAGATTAGTTGGCTGATAGCTTACCACTCCACTCTGTCATCCACTGAGGATCAGCCATGGCCCAAAATACTATGATTTTGGCATATTTAGCTATAGTGGCTATAGAAGCTTCGTTATTCCTCTATCCTTAACTTGTACTTATCACTATGGTCACTAATGTAGCATTTAAGTGATTTCTCTTGTTTATGCTGTATTTTAGTAGGTTGGTCTATGAGCACAGGCATTATTAGACCAACGTTTGTAATCATGAGGTCACTTTATGCACAGTAATGTCTGTGAGTCAAACGCTGAGGTTGCAGACTCCTCTGGACACTCAGTTTATCACACTTTTTTCTACTCTTGAATCTGGATGTGTCATTGTGGGCACCCAATTAGAAAAAAGCTTTCTTAAAATGGGAGGGGCTAAATCTGCTGTTTCAGACAGAGGATGAACTGGGGGCACAGTATCAGATAAAGGATGATTTTGATCTGTAAATCATGCAAAGCTACTCTAGTAGAGAAATGGAGCTGGAAATAAGTCCACTTTAGATATGATTTCCTAACCTAACCTTCATTTAGGAGACCAGTGTTTATCCAGTGGTCAGCCTCTACAGCAGGGGTGTCAAACTCAAATACACAGTGGGCCAAAATTCAAAACTGGAACAATGTTGCGGGCTAACATTAATATTTATTGAAAAAAAATCTTTCTCCAGATATAAGAATCAATCTTTTCTTATTGACTCAAACACGTTTTGCTGAAAAACTGAATATGGAACAAGCAAAGCTTAATACTAAACGATATATATATAGATATTAGCTGTATAATACCAGTAGGCCAGCTCTAGTAGTAATTTGGTATGGCTTCGCGGGCCAAATGTAATTACACTGCGGGCCAAATGTGGCCCACGGGCCAGAGTTTGACACCTATGCAGGATCAGTGATTTCAAACAGGATCACGTGACTTGAATAGTTCAGTAAGGCGACTAGTTTGAGCTCCTCGCCCTCAGAGTTCACACCATCATAGTTATAAACATGTGAAAGTCATGTCAGGACAGGAGCAATCAACTTTCTGCTTTTTAGCACTTTTGTGGCGGCGTCCCATCACGCCCCGCCCACCTTCGGTGCTCTCTGATTGGTCACAGCTTGTGTCACTCTGGGGTTAAGCCGTAGGTAATTGGTCGTTGGTGTTTCCCCTTCTCCCCCTCTCAGCGGCCATCTGGGGACTCGGGTCCGACTCTGTGGTGACTGTCCTGCGGTGAGCTGCTCCAACTTTGTCCGGGGTCAGAGGCAGAATACAGGCGGGGACTTCACGGTGCGGTTTCACGGCTCTTCCTGGTGGACGTGTGCAACAGGAGGTGACTGACTGAGCGGACATTTACCGGAGCTGAAACTTTTTTCCAACCTCAGGAGACCGTTTGGAGGAGGGAAAAATCAAGAAAAATGGCAGACAGCGAGGAGCATCAAGTTTCTTCCACCACTCCTATGTTCAACGACGAGGTGCACCATTACCAGGCCGAACCGGACCACTACCTCCTGGATGACGACATTGTGGACCTCGTTGGCGGGGCTAAAGACGCTTTGGAGCGGCACCGAGCTGAAGATAGTGTTCCTGACGACTTCACGCAAACTTCCCTCCCTGATCTAAAGGAGACGGTAACGTTACCGGAGCCAGCCCTCAAACCGGCAGTCCCAGACTCCACCAGCCCAGCTTCTGCCCACGAGGAGCCTGAAGTGGCCGCTCCCAAAGCCGAGCCGGCGAGTACAAAGATCGCACCGGAGCCAGAACCTGCCCCCGAGAGCGACGCCCTCCCAGTGGCCGAACCCCGAGAAGCAGCGCCATCCCCCGCAGAGGCAGCAGAGCGATCTGCGGTGACAGCGCAACCAGCGGCTCCCGCGTCGTGTGAGTATCACTGATGGATAAACGGCAGGACAGGGTTATTCGAGAGTGGAGGGACACCTTTAAGGTCTATGTTTAAAGCCTTTTACCTAAAACTCGGTGAAATGCACCTGGATATTTTTTTCATTTTTACCGGTTTTCTGTGCACCTGAATGGGGTTAGCATCGCATCCCGAAAACGACCTGCAGATAAAAATAGGCGGGGTAGAGTGCTGCCTTTTCTCCCTTGGACACGTTTAACGCCTGGTCTCAGTTATGTTGTGTTAGATTGTGCTAAATTTGTGTGGATTTCTCCAGGGTGTTGTTCGCTAAGTGCTTAGCCTCTTAGCCGCCTAGCGATGCTACCCCAGAGGGGAGCGAAAGGTGCTTCATCACTGAGCCTGGTGCTGTTTGCGCTAAATGGATGGGAGGTAGACTCCTGGAGTCACGGAGCGTGTTTTCTTTTAAAAACGAGACAGTTGCGGTGTTTTTTTGCGCACGCTTGCGTTTTTTTAATGCTAGCAGGCTAGCCCGGTTTTTTTGCTGTGTTGTGGTGATGCGGCCCACCTGTTCGGACAAACAGGCGGCAGGAAGCAGGCTGTGAGCCGATGAGGTGGCAGGATTGCACCATTTATCCTCCAGTTATCCACCAGAGGCAGCCTGCTTCCTGTAACTAACGGCACTGGGGTGTTTTTGGAAACATTTCCTGGAATAAACGCGGTTTGTTCCACCGTTATCGGAGCCGTTATTGTTATTAAACCGGGCATCTGTTCTCCGCTCGCTGCGTGTCCGCACATGCTAACGGTAGTTGCATCCTGGTTCCATTATCGGACACACCCTTTATTCCTTCTCCCCCCCCAACAAATTAAAGCTGAAGCGTCAAAGAAATGCTGTCAGATATGTTTGACATGAATTTTCCTTCAGACATGAGTTAAGAAAATGAGGCAGACAAATTAAATTGTGTGTTTTCTCTATTGTGTTGCGTGAGGTGGACTCCAGCGCTCTCCCCTTGTAATGCTTTATTTTATAAACCTGTAATATCGGAGTCAGAATCACAGCTAACACAAACCCGTATGAGATTGGTTCTTTGGATCTGTTTGCTCTGATTAAAGCGGCGGCAGGATAGACATGGTCGCGTCCGATAATGGAAGCATGCGCGGTTAGCAGGGAGATTAGTCACAACAAAGGAATCCGCTGTGCGTCCACTCCCTGTCGGCTTCCACACCGCTACCAGAATAACCCCAATCAGCCTTTCGTGATTTATTTTCCTACCCCGGCTACCCACACCCTCACCCACCCCCACAATCTCCACCCAAAAACCAACACCCCAGATCCCAGACAAAAAGAATCAGCTCCAGAGGCCTCCAGATCGGCTCTGCCGCTGGCTGCTGGGGCTCGGTCCTGCTCCCGTGGCGTTCTGTGTCATGTCTGGACTGCATAGACTTTCAGGAAGTGCTCCATTTCAGCTGCTGCCGCTGTTGTTTTTGTTTATCTGGTGGAGTAAATGTGGCTTTCGGCAGGTAAACAGGCCTGAGCTGGAGCAGCAGCAGGCAGGGTGGGGCTGCTTGGCGAGGCCACAGACGGAGGTGGAAAAACCGCCTGTTACAGCAAGCAGCCAGCAGCCAGAACAAAAGAGACGGAGCGAGAAAGAAATTCATCCATGTCTGAATCGATTCCATCACTGCCAGCTCCATCACACACACATTAACCTCCTGAGAGACCTGAGGCGAAAATATGTCACCGTTAAACACGATTTCCTCGGCACACAGAAACCAGGCCACGCTCAGGAGGTGACCTGAGAGTAGGAGGGAGAGGAGATGTGAATTCTTCTTTAATTTTGGGCAATTTGAGATTAAATTAAGCTTTTAAATGCGTCCTTTGTTGCATTTTAGCCCGTTCTTGCCTTTCTCTTTGTTTCTGGTCCACAGTGCCCTCTTGTTTGATGCTCCTGTGTTTATTGCACGATTATAAAGTAATGAACAGCCTCGCCTCTTTTAATTACTGCGCTCAGAGCAGGCATTACATGATGAGGTGTTATTAATGTGCCCATGAAGGCCTCCAGATTTCTCTGCCTCCAGCAGCCACGACTGTTTTAATATTTGAAACGCTTCAGTAAAAACAACTGTGTCTGATCACAGGAAGCTGCCTCCACTTTATTCTGGCAGATGTATTATGACTTCAGCGCGTGCTGGAATAATCCACCTTTGTTGGAGGTTTCTGTATGTTTATTACTGAACACACACACAAAAGGCAGCTGGATAAAATCCCTCTTTAGATCCAGTGAAATCAGTATCAGCTGAAGTGCTTCTTCAAAGCAGATTTTAAGGAACTCGAGGGTTTCTAACAGATCTGCCACACAGGACAGTGTGCAGGAGTGGAACAGTCCCGTCCCGCCTCCCTTGTATCCCTCGGGTGGTCGTCACCTCTTTAGAGCTGGGCCCGATCCAATCAGTGCTCTGGACAAAGACCCAGGGGTCCAAATCTAAGTGGTCAAATACAACAGCGTCGCTCTTCCTGCCCGAGCCGGTCGCCTCTCCTAAACTCTGCTCTTCCAACTTATCTGAGAATATTCGGTAAATAACAAACTTTAAAAAAAAAGAAAAGAAACGCCCAAACTAAGAAAGGAGGGACTAAAGGCCGTGCAGCAGTCAGGTCATAGTTTAAATGTCTGAGGACAGAAGCAGGGTGTGTTTTCATGTAGTGAAGAAAACACGCCGTCTCTTTGGGAAGTTCAGCTGCTTCCTTCTGATGTTTGCTGCCCGTCTGCGTCGATGAGGCGAGTCGGCTCATTTTTAGTGTTTTTGTACCTCAGAGCCAACAAACGATCCTTTATTTTCTACAATACCAACGTTCTGCTGCTAGAGCTTTTAAAACAGCACATTTCTGATCACACGTAGAGGTGTACGTGCAGCGCGAGCTGACCACGGGAGCTGACCACGGGAGCATGCGTCATGACGAGTTACCTTTTTAAAAATGTTTGTTTTTGCTTTGAGATAAAAACGGGAGCAGAAATGTTGGAGCTCGATGTTTGTCATGTTGTTTGTTGGAAGAGATGAAGGCGCTGCTGCCTCCCTCCTCCTCCTCCTCGCACAGATTCAGGTCGTCACCTTGAAAAAGGTGTTTGCGGCGAGTTTTCGTCCTTCTGCGGCGCGGTGACGGACAGGCCGTGTAATCGTTTGGGGCTCGCCGTCGGCCTACATCTCATTGTTTTGGGGTCACCTACATCCGTCAGTGTCTGTTTGTGAGGAGCTGCTGGTGTGGTCAGAGTGATGGTGACGCATGCGTGTGGTTAAGTGCGACTCCACCCGGCACAGCGGCCACGCCCGCTCTGTTTGTATTTTACTCGGTCAGCAGCAGCTCTGAGTTCTCGTGGCGACGAGCTCGTGTTAATCTGATTTAATCCCGCCTCTTATCGCTGCGATAAGCTCAGAGCTTGTAGAGCTGTGCGGTGAAAGGTGATACCTGCCCGCGATGAACGGATTCATCAGACGAGGCAGAAAACTGTGTCATCTGTTTGTTTTCAGGCTAAAGAAGCTCTGATCCGGACTTCAGCTTTCACGTGTTCGGCTGCTGCAGACGCAAAAGTGTTTTAAAGTTGGCTGGACTGCAGACCTCTCACATCAGAGGTGGAGCTCTGTCATAGGCAGACGTCTAACAGAGCACATGTCAGAATAATGCAGTCTTCTGACAGTGGCTGACTTCAGCAGTGGTAGCAGCAGGTTGGGAAACGTGTGGACTTCCTTGAAAAGGCAGAACAGACTTTGTAGAAAAGACCTCCAACTGTTTGGAAGGGGATCATCTTTCAGGGGATTCTGGGAAAAGAATAAATCTGACCTTTTTCCTTTCCCAGCAGGTACCAGAAGTGCTAGTTAGAATTCTTGGCCAACCTGGCACCAGCCAGCAGCACCTCTCTCTTTGTGACAGGAAGTTGCAAGACGGGTGGAAAATAAATCTGAAATAAGAAGCCCACGTTTCAGAGACAAAACTGCTGAAGAACGAGATGAGTGGTAGAATGGAGAATATCTAACCTGGGCCATCAGACGAGACTTACTCTGGACTGGTTTCTAACTCTGATGTCAGATGGATGACGGCGAGTGAATCGAGGAAGTGGAAGAACAGATCCATGAAAATCTGCACGCTTCCATCCGTCCTGTTTAAATTTGGGTTTATTTGGCCTTAGACGTCCCAGCCAGGCAGACGCCGGGGCTCAGAGGAAGGTCAGCGGACGTTACGGGCGGGTTTGATCTGGTTTAGCTGGAGGCCAGTTTCCCTCTCAGCCTGAGCCCCGTCTCTGGGGACTGGGTCAGATTAAACATAGCAGTGTCACATGAGTCCACACAGGTCCTGGTTTGTGTCACAGAGGTTGCGTGGGTTCAGTGTGTGGACGGACTGCAGTGGTGTCTCGGGGTTTCCTCCTCTTTAAACGCGCTGCTGCGGTTGGACGAGCGCACGTTTAAGGAGGCGGAGTTTTGTGTTTAGCTCGAGCGGCGAGGAGAGACGCTTGGAGCACATTCCTCAGTGTGTCGGGGTTAAAGGTTCGATTCCTGCAGCAGGCCGAGGCGTCGCTGCTGCTGGTTATGATTGGTAATGCTCACACCTGCGTATTATTAATGTCGCTGTTACACTTTAGGGCTTCGGGGCTGTTAGGTGGATGTAAAATGTGTAAATGCAGAGATAAGTAGACATATATCTCTAATGTGAGCAGAGGAGCGTCAGCTGAGTCTGGGAGTCTGCTGAGAGCCATCGAAACCTAACGTGACTCCATGTTGTGCTTTGTTACCTTCATATTAAAATCCACAGGTTAGAGTTCAGATTTAGTCGACTGTGACTTCATGTTAAATGTCCTGTTCGGTTCCATCGCAGGTCTTCTCCATCGCTGGAAGGCAAACCTCGACAGCAGAGGTAACAGATAAAACGGAGCTTTGTAATCAGCTCAGCTTCACTTTGTAATCAAAATCAATTCATTAATAAATCTGATAATCAGCTTATGATTTAATCAGATTATTCACAGAGTCCTGATTCTTGATTTTCATCTGTAATAATCACAAAATGACGAAAGTTTCCTGTCGGTGTTTTTGATTTTGGCCTTGAGCTCAGAGGACGTTAGAGATAAAGATGGTTTCTGGACCTTCATGAAACTTCACTGATGAAGAGCAACGTCATTCCAGCCTGTACACAGTTCAGACTTCTGTCTTTTAATAATCTAATTTTATAAAAGTCTGAATGAAAACTTTCTTTTTAATCTCTTTATGAATCATTTCTTTGTTGGCTAATGAAGACGTTGAGTTAAAGATGGAGGCCTGTGTGGAGCCGGCTAATCAATCCGATTTTAATTTCATTATGATCGTGGCTTCCTACAGTTACGAGAGGAAGATGATGATGAGTGTTTCCTCTGAACGCTCTCAGCTTGTCTCGTGTTCAGTCAGTCGTTCTCGCTCCATCCTAAAAACACAAACTCGTGGTGGACACAGCCACGGTCACTCTGGTGGGACCATCATTTATAAAATGAACTTCATGTTTGATTCAACGCGACCACAAAGTGTTTGCTGAGCTCCGAGATCAGCTGAGCACAAGTTCCACCTTCAGTGAGTCGGAGCTGCGTGCTGCTCAGAGGAATGCAGCTCAAAGATGCTTAATCATTGGCTCACCTGCAGACGTCCGTCCTTTGTAAACAGTCTCTGTAGGGTAGGTAAGAGATCCATGTAGGTTTGGACGTTAATTATTTAGCAGCTCCTGCTGCCTGTGTTTGAGCTGCCCTCTGCTCATCGGGCGACACCAACCAGTCTGTAAATATATTAGCACATACGTCCCAATCTGGACACAGGGGTGTTGTCTGTGTTTGTATTTTGGGTGTTAACAGTCCTGTTTTTCTTATGTCCACTTCTATGTAGACGACTCAGTTTTATGTGCTTGCGTTCTGAGAGTTTGCCTTTTAATGGTTTTTGGCCCTTTTTAGCTCAAAATCTCTGATTTCTTCACTTATTCCAGGCATTTCTCTCGTTTTCTTTCACTTGTGTTGCTCGTTTTTCTGAGTGCAGCGGTGTAACTGTCAGTCAAAGATTAGTCTGCTTCTCACGTCGCCTCTAATTTCTATACACAGATGTAGAAAAGCCAAAATCAGCCAAAACATCTTTCTCAGTTTGTCCTTTAAAGTTTTAAAGACCAGTCGGCTCAGCGCAGGAGCTCGAGCTGTATGTCTGTATATTTACTTGATCGTGTGCAACAGTTGCATTAACGTCGACGTCTGCTTCTCTTCAGCCGGCTGTTCTTAATCTCAGTGAGAACTGGACTTGGATAAAATATGGTGCATTAACCGCTGCACGACAGCAGGAGCAGTCTGTGTGTTCGTGCTGCTGTGGAGGATTTTGTTGGAGCACTTTCCCTGTTTTTGTCCCATCACATGTAGGCAGTCATCTGTTTGGGGGAAACAGCATTAAGCTCATTAGCAGGAAGAAGCAGACGTTTTCAGCACGTCCTTAATGTCATTCGGCTTCATTTGGTTTAATCGGCCGATTGCTGTTGGCTCGAGCTTTCTGACTTGCACAACAGTCAAGTTTCCTGTCTGTGTGCTGATGTTGTGTAACCAGACGAGTTTGGAAAACATCTGTCATATTTGACATTTTTAGAGTATTTTTGGATGGTTAGTCGGCGTGTTGCTGAAACCTCTGGGTCGCCCTCGTGTTGCGTCTCCTGTGAAAGCTGGGAAAACCTCCTCACGTCTCTTCATGGCAAATCGTCCGATGCTTTACTGCCTGTCACCATTTCTCTGACCTTTTCTTTGTCATCTGCTATCAGTTAAAGACACGTCCGGCCTTTAACGCGTGTTTACGTAACTCGGAGAGCTTGTTCAGGTAGCACACGGTGCTCACGTCCAGGTTTCTCTTTAACCACACAAACAGTAACAAACATGTTTGATTCATGTTGTCAGTGCGGTGAATTTTATGCTCTTTTATATTCATAAAACTTCTGTCACGTTGCTGTTTGGTGAAATCATTACAGCACGAGCAAAGATTGCAATTTATAGAAAGTGAGACGATCGAATTATTGTAGAACAAAGTCTAATTCTGAAGCCATCAACGCTCCTTCACCTCATAAATGCTCTGAATTAACATCATCAACACCTGAGAGCTGAACAGCTGATCGTTTTATTGGCGCTAAAAGAATTTGAATCATTTTAACTGTTTGTTTGGTTTTTGGGAGCAGCAGAAACATTGATGGTGAAGCTGTGATGAAGGCTTCTTGTACCTGGAGAGGGTGTAAACTGCTAACGTGGTGCCCAGTAAGCTAAAACGGCTCCTGGCCTCCTGCAGCAGGGACTGAGTGTGAACCACAGCCTGCAGGTCTGATGAGGGGGTGAAGGCGTGGTATTGATGGCATGTCCGATTGCACAGAGGCTGTTAAACGCTGTAAGCTGTGTGAACTTCTATGCACAGCTGCTCCTTTTTGAATAAAAGCATTAGGTGAAGAAGCCCCCTGTGGGCGTCCACGTTTCTCTCTTTAACGCTCGGGAGCTGTGATTAAGATTTTATCCCGTCACTTGAGGCGTAGAGACCCACTTTTGGCTTTAGAAATCTCCTCTTCAGTTTGTATTGGCGATGATATCTCTCTCTGTTCTCGGTCTTTTCCCTCTGAGCTTGCATAAACTCACTTTCTGCTGCTTTCTCTCGTTTCTTCCACAGATGTACCTTCTTCTTCTTCTAAAGCTCAGCCTCATCCTCTGATGCACTTCCCTACAGGCAAGTCCTCTCTGCTCGTCTCTTTCCCCGTCTCGGTCATTTCTTTTCCTCTTCAGTTCTTTATTCTTCACTCTTTGTTTTAAAATAACTCATCGCATGGAAGAAGCTGTAGGTTTTTTACGTCATGTGAGCATTTACACGGGATGCTTGCCGTGGGTTTGTTAAATCTGACTTTGCCTGTGTTTGTGTTGCATTGTGATTCACATGTGACTGTTGTAGAGTAGACTGACCTGAACTTGTACAAGTAGTTTGTAGACGAATAATGATTCTCCTCAGGTTTGTGCATTTGTTAAATTATATTTTGAAAACTTAATTGAGAGGAATCATTATCTGTGGTCACCTAGCAGTTTGTTTGACACTCTGGGCATGGTTTATTGGCGCCAGACCTGGGGAAACATTTATTGCACCACCAAACGTCAAACCAAGGTGGTTTACAGACCAGACAAATGTGGGCAAACCTGACTGTGGATGGTAGTCGTGTAAGTCCAGTTTATTCCCAAAGAAACAGAGCAACACAGAGCAACACTGCAAAGCTCACTAAACACAGATGTTTACATTTTTCATTTATTTTTTATATTCCAAACATTTGCACTGTTATCAGTATTTGCACTATTTTAGATTCTTTTTTGACAATCTTTAAAGTCATTATTCAACACATTGTTATTGTTAAATAAATATCGTCAAATAATCGAGATCTCAATTTCAGTGAAAATAATCGTGATTATCATTTTTGCCATAATCGAGCAGCCCTAATTTTAATTCATATTTCCAGCACTTAAAGAATGTGTTTTATGCCACTTAGGAAATAAGACAACAGTCATGCAGTCAATCCCATTTTAGCAGGCGTACTTCAAAGATAAGCTTACAATCTATGATATTGTCGGCTTTTTGTGCAGGGAGATGATTTTGTCAGTATACTTAAATCCCATCACATTATGGTTGGTCAGTAACTCTCATAACAAGAAATCGGTATGTGTTTAGGAGTGAACCAGTACTGTTAGCAGAAGCAGGAAGAGGTTACCCGTGAAAAATCCCCCCATGTTTTTACACCGGTGGACTTGCCTGAGCCCAACAGTGACTGCTGACTGGCTCAGGACAAAGCATTTTGTTAATTATTTTTATCACTTGACTTTGCCCATCATCTTTATGCACATCACATACAGTCATATCAAATATTTGTTTAATGTGATGTCAGTTAGTTTGAAGGTGAGTAGAAGTCGAACAAGTGAAAGCATCATCGAAGCCAGCACTCATCCTTAGGCCTGGAGTCCACCTTTGAGAAAACGTGATGGTGTTTTTCATTAGTCACCTGTTCCTCCCCGTCAGTCCTCTGAAAGGCAATATCTCCCAGTGAAAAGAACACTGCTGATTGCTTGCATAAGAACATATCAGCCAGTCAACCCTGAGACTATTTCAAGAGGGGATGCAGTGACAGCTGGGCTGAAAATCTCTGCTCATGAAAGTTAAAATGTTTGAAATAATCATTAAATCTAAAAAACAACAACAAATGTGTTGGTTTATGATTAGGTTGGATCCAAAGTCAGGTGTTCCAGCACCAAAGCAACGTTTGTCTTTTCTAATCTATCTGTTGTAGGCATTACATTTATATACAATCCCAACAATGTCTCAACATGACCATGTTATACTGGATCTGGTCCCCAAACATTAGACAAGCCCCATTTCTTTTCAAATATAAACTCCAAAAATATATTCTTTCAAGCCAATACTGTAATATAAAAGACTTAAAATCACACACAACGTATTAGTATTTAGTATTATCCTTTTAGCTGATTGTTTTTGGGGTTATACTGAACTGGTCTACCAGCCACCGCCACCTTTCATAGCCGTTGTCTGGTCTAAATCTCTGAACCTTTTCTGAATGTTGTTGGTAGCTGTTCTACCCAGGTGTGGTGGGCACTGTAAGGAATGGAGTATGTCTTTGATATGTGCTGTATTGCATTCTCCCTCCTCCCTCTCTACTCAAGCACTTGGGCAGAAGGGTGATTCCCCTGCTCCCATCTCTCCCATCTCCCCTCTCCACTCCCCCGACTCTCTGGAAGAGCTCTCTTTGACCGAGAGTCCCAACCAGCCCCCTGCTTCAGGATCTGCTGCACCCCTGGGCTCCTTCTCCACTGAACCCCCTGCTACTCTTTCCAAGGACATGCCTTGGGGGGGTGACTCTGGACCAGGCAGTAGTAAGAATAAGGAAGACCCTCTAGATCCATTAGCTGGTCCTTACCTGAGTTTAGGGAAAGACCCAGGGCCTCATAATCCGTGCGAAGACAGTGGCATTTCCTTTTCGCCTGACGAGAAGCTGATTAGCTCAGACAGGTCTTCCACTGGCCCCTCCCCCGTGAATCCCCAGATGATGGTCCCTGAGTCTCACGTTGCCTCCTCTAACCCAACAGAGCACTGGGATTCACCATACCTAGCTTCTCAAGACAACACCAAGCCCTCAATGGATTCCTTCCCCAAGGACACGGCCTCCATTAACCCCCCAAGTTTTGAGCCAGACCTGCACGGCAACCAGTCTGACGAAGAAGATGACTTGATGTACGAGGTGAAGAAGAACAATAACCCATTTGATGGCTTTTCCCCACTTGCGGACAGCGGCTACTCACATTTTGGAGACTCCAAGTCAGACAGCAGAGCATCTAAAATGTCCGATAGTCCAACTCCCGATCTGGTCCAGTATGGGCAGATTGGAGAATCCCAGGAAAATCTACCATCTTTCTTGGATGAGGGAAAAACATTTGAGCCCAGCAAGATGACTGCCGACTCACTCATGCAATCGATGAATCAGTTCTCATCTGGTCTCAGAGATGATGATGATGATGATGAAGAGGAAGAGGAGGATTCTGCTCTGCCGCCTTCGCTTCCAGACATCCTGAAGTCTTCCCCGCTCAACCCCGACAAACTAGACTCCGGCTCCTCTGAGGGAAGTCCGGAGGAGCAGAGCCCCATCCTCGAACGAAGGATGATGGAGTCACCCAATCCTCCGATCAATCTGTCTGCTAATAACCCCTTTGCTTTTGAGGCTAAAGTTTCCCTGCTGAAAGAGATGACTGAGGAGATGGAGGGGAGAGCTACAGATAAAGAAAAAGCAGAAGATGACAAAACCTTTGGCGCATTTGATCTCGTCAAAGAGGCCGAGGAAACTACCCCAACTAAAGCAAAAGAAGAGGAACCTGTCAAGATTCAACAGAAAGATTGGTTTTCAAGCCACGATTCTCCCAAAATGACCGGAAAGTTTGAGCCACTCGACTTCCAGAATAAGAAGACCCCTGCTGAGGATTCGGATTCAGAGTCTCCAACAGCAGACTCCCTTTCGCCGGTCTTGGAAGCAATGGCAAAGAACCCTGCCAGCTTCCAGGTGGAAACTGACAAGAAGGACCTGAAGATGGAGCTGGAGGAGCCGGAGATGGCCGAGGAGGTCTCCGAGCATGAAGTCTCCTCTGAGGAATTTGAATTCATCGAAAGACCACCTAGGGGTGTTATTGACGAGTTTCTCGAAGCTCTGGATACTTCCAAGTTTGCAGCCTCCAAGCCCCCGGAGATCCCCATGGATGATGATCTCAGCTTTGGACAAAAGGATCCAATCGCAAAAGTAGCCCCGCCCCCGGAGGTTGAAGAAGAAGCTCCAAGTCAGAGCTCCTACCGCCTCCTCACACAGGCCTCCCCCCAAAAAAGCAAGGCTGAGCTGGAGAAGCTCGACATCCAGCAGCCCCCACCCCCCCAAGCTCCTACCACCCATTCCCCTGTTTGCAAACCAGAGGAGCCAGCGGCGAAGAAGAGCGCGGAGGGCGGCAAACCGTTTAAGATGCCAAACCTGAACATAAGAGCAGGTAAAGTAACCCAGTTCCAGCATGGATACCATCCCCCACTACACTTTTACTGGCACTTCCATGTTCATCCACATAACTTCCATCTCCATTCTTAGTTCCCCTCCATTACTTTCTTCCATCCAACCAACCAGTCAGTGTTTCCTTTGGTTGCATCGTCTTTTTGCATTTCTTTGAATCTTAACATTTGCATTTTGTAGTTGTGTTCCTCATCGTTCGACCTTTTGTTGGATTTTGTGCATTTGTCTCATTCGAGTAACACCATTTCTGTGCATTTGATCACTTTATTTTTTTTTTGTTTAAAAACACGGTAAGTAAAGCTGGTTTTGATTAGTTTTTGTTCAATTTTGATTTGTCCTTTTTAAACCTAAACTTTTTAAACAAAGCTTATAGAGTAGAATATACAAACCAGGCGTTTCTGGTTGCCTGCTGAGCATTTTTGTTTTGAATTCGATCATCTTACTCCCTGGTTTAACTTCCTCCCTCTGGACATAACCTGAGATGTTGGACTGAAACCCAGCACCACCTCAGACCCCAGCATCCGCTCACATGCACACAGAGAACCGACCACACCCTGTTCCTGAGTTTTACTACATGTTTTACTGTCACACAGGACAGTGTCAGATTTCATGCTCTGAGGCTGAATGCTTTAGTGTCATTTACTGATAACCTGTGTGCTGAATAACCTGAACTGTAATGAGTCAGGAGGACGTTGTACTTTCCGCCTATAAACTGCTCAGGAGTGGATGTTCACATTAACATGACCAGAGCTTTTTAATGAGCCGAGTGTACATTCACTTATCCCTGTGAGCCCAAAGCTGCTCTAAACATCGCCTTGGATCTGTATGATGTCACTGAGGGAGGCCCCCACCTGCTGTCTGTCACCTTTGGGATAGTTATGGTTAGATTTGTTTGGACTGCAGCTCAGTGATTCATCTGCAGGTCTATTTACTTAATTTTATTATTTGTTCAGCCTCTGTGGCTTCGGTGGTCAGTGTGATAACGCTCCCTGGCTGGTGCATCGCAGGAAACCGCCTCAGTTATTAATATGTTGCATATTATTCCTGCTTCTGTCTTACACTTTTGTTGGAAATGTTCTTTACCAATTGCCCAAAAGAGGCATTTTGGGGCCTTGAAGCAGCTTCTGCTGCCTCCTGTAAAATGCAGAGCGGATTTCTGCACAGTTCCAGTTCCTGTTTCGTCTGTTTTTGGTTCGTTTTCATTTTGCCCTGAGGTGATGAGTGGTGGAAAACTGCAGCATGACAAAGTTTCTGTGAGCTGAGCGGCGGGTTGATCAGAGTTTATCAGACAGACGCAGAGTTGTGTCCTTCGGGGCTTGTAGGAGGCGTCTCTGTGAGCGCGGCAGAGCCTCATCTTCCTTTAAATGGCCACTGATATCGATCAGCTCACAACAGGCTGTGTAAGCGGACTGTGGTTCTAGGATGAGCTGCCGAGGCTTTAGGTGTGTGTGTGTGTGTGTGTGTGTGTGTGTGTGTGTGTGTGTGTGTGTGTGTGTGTG